AAGTTCAGGTCCAGTGCTGGGCAAGAACAATGAGGGAATCAATCAGTGAGGATCCAGGTAGACAGAGAGCAGATTTGTAGCAAATATACAGCCCTGAACTACAAGGTAACAGGCAGCCCGTTACTGGGTTCCCCTCTCTTTGCAGGGAGTAGGTATCTGCTTGTAATACATTTTCCACACTTTTGGTTAAATCTTCTGGGCCAGGGAGCTCATTCTTTGGCGTCTCAAGATGTGACCCTGGGACCCAGCTCACCATTCTGGTTATCAATACAAAATCCAGAAGCCACAGAATTAGACTGCCTTAAAAAACAACAACACACATACAGGGAAGTGGGGTCCGTCGAGGTAGAGAAAGGAACACCGGGGGACAAATGGTGATGGAAGGAGACTTGACTTGGGGTGGTAAACATACAATATAGTGTACATTGTGGAATTGTGCACCTGAAACCTGTATAATTTTGTTAACCAGTGTCTCTCCAATAAATTCTATAAAACGAAATAACTAAACAAAACACACACACAATCAAAACAGCAACAACTGAGAAACATATTTGCATAGGCTCGCTGCATCTTCCTTGTCAAAGGGACACAATTTTGTGTTAACGAATAGGATCACTGTTTGAAGATCGTTCTCTTCAAAGCCCACCATCCCCGTTCCCGTGAAGCCTCCTTCCTCTTTCCCTTGTCTCAGCTGTGTTTCCGAGCTGGTCTGCCCTAAGTCAGCAGAGGTGGAGAGCGGAAAGGCTCTCCTGGGAGTCCTCCCCCGAGAAGGAAGGAGCGACTGTTCAGCACAGGGTGGGGTGTGGGGGCACCCGAGAAGGCAGTAGTAATCGGAGAAGGTTCTCGGCACCCACACACCACACCATGCAGGTGGCCGCTACTCCAAGCACAATTAAGAATCTAGTTGTGTGGTTACAACTGGCACACCAGAACCACTAATAAATATTTCACGAATGAAAAAAAAAAATGCATGGGCTGCTCTTATGCTGAACGTTTCTCCCAGTAATCTAAAACAGAAGATGATTCTTTGTTGCGTTTGTTTCCCTATGATACAAAACATCCTCATCTCTGTCGGCATGGAGGGTGAGCCAAGGCAAAGCAAATGTCAAAGCATCATAGAATTCTTTCATTCGTCACCCAATTATTATTGAGCACCTACTATATATGCCAGACACTGTTCTAGGGGCTTGGGATACATCTTGTGGATGTAAAAAAATAAATAAATAAATAAATAAATAAATAAATAAATAAATAAATAAATAAAAAAATTCAAACCTGGAGAGGATTTTTATAAGATTTTATTTGGGGTAATCTGATGACAATTGCCAGGAAGCAAGATCTCAAATGCTCTGGAGCATAAAGGTTTTGCAGTTTATGAATGTGAAATTAAGGAGGGAACATAAGGAAGGTGGGAGAAAGTGAGTGGAGGGATTGGATTACAGATTGAACAAGATTGTGTGCTCTCCTGAGGGTGGTTACACCTTCCAGGGTATTATTTCTGGCATCTCAAAGGTGTGTTAAACTAGATGCACCGGAACAATGGACCGGACTGGCTTAACACCTTTCTCTGAAGTAGTTATAAGCCTGGGACATGACTACCCACCATGCTCTGCCCAGGTAGGTCACCCTGTGAGGTTACTTTCCATAGAATTGCCTTTTTGGTCCACATTCTGAGCAAAACAGGCAAAGACAACTGCCCTCAGAACACTTCTATTCTAGGTAGGAAAGCCAGACAAGAAATAAACACAATAAGCTAATTCAATGGTGATATAGAAAGTAAATGCTATGAAATAAAGAAAAAGTAGAGCAGACTTAAGGAAATTGAAAGTGAGGAAACAGGTGGCAATATTTTCAGAGGCAGTCAGAGGAGAAATTAAGATTTGAGAATTTATGGCCTGGCTGGTTTGACTCAGTGGTGAGTGCCTAAAGACCCTCTGACTAAAGGGGCCTTAAGCTCTGGCCTGGTCAGTTGGTCAGAGCATCATCCCCCAGACACAAAGTTGGGGGCTTGATCCCCAGTCAGGGTACATACAAGAATCAACCAATGGCCAAAACCGGTTTGGCTCAGTGGTAGAGCGTCAGTCTGCGGACTGAAAGGTCCCAGGTTCGATTCTGTCAAGGGCATGTACATTGGTTGCGGGCACATCCCCGGTAGGGGGTGTGCAAGAGGCAGCTGGTCGATGTTTCTCTCATCAACATTTCTAGCTCTCTATCCCTCTTTCCTTCTCTCTGTAAAAAATCAATAAAATATATATTTTTTTTAAAAAAGAATCAACCAATGAATGCATGAATAAGTGGGACAACCAATTAATGTTTCTCCCTCCCTCTTGTTAAAACAAAGCAATACATAAAATATAAACAATTTTTTTTGAGGATTTCTTGAGATTTGGCAAAAGCTTGGAACGTGTTGAGACTCCCAGCAGAGGGAATAACTAAGGTAAAGACCCCGTTACTAAACTGCTGGGTCAGCATGAGGCCAGAGTGGTTGGGAGAGAAGCCCAAAAGGGCAGAATAGAGATGGGTCTGAGAAGGGGAAAAGCCCCTCCACACAGGATCTCATGAGGACTAACCACGTTGAAAGTCCCCTGGCAGGACCTGGAGCAGAGGACAGGCTGCAGGGTTGAACTAGAAGATCTAAAATTCAGAGCTCAGCGCAGCTGGGCCTGTGTGGGCTTGTTTCAATGGTGTGGCTGCTGCTGGACCTTCCAGCTAGATTCCCTAAATCTCCCGAGATTGCCCACCCTCTCCTATGCCCCAGGCAAGCTGGGTCCAGGAACAGCCCACTCCCGCCCCAGGCAAGATGTAAATAAGGCTTTGTCCCCTTATATGGGGCAGGTCCCCACCCACTCCCCCTAGGGTCCTTTCCGACCTTCCACGTGGCGCGGAGGGTTCCCATTTCGTCCTGCCTCCTTCCGCGACCAGCCTTGCAGGTAAGCTCCCTGAGCAACTGATATCCTTGGAGCCGCCAGCCTCCTTGGTCTCTCAGCCCCGGGGTTCATCCAAGAGCTTGGGGACGGCTTTGGGTGCTATCCCTCCATTTAGAACCAGGCCTGGATTATTCCCGAAGTTCAGGCCCAGGTGTATCTTTGGGGAATCGGCTCTTTTTCGGTCTCATGTCCTCCCACGAGGGCTCTGAGCCGGGTGCCACTGTTCCTGAGGAGGGCAACAGTAAAGAGACAAGAAGAATCCCTAATCTTCAAGATTTCCCTAGGATGGAATTGTTTTAGGTGTAAGTGACCCTTTTTCTTAACGTTAGAGGAACATTAAGGCGCTTGCTTTCCCCTTCCCCATTAAAAAAACAAAACAAAACAAAACAAAACCACAACCATTTATTACTTGACTAGTAATACCTCACAGCTAGACTACCAGAAATACACCGGGAGGCCAACTAAGTTAAGTTTACCAATTTGCAGAAGCAAGGAGGCCATGCGGGAGAGGAATGGGGGCCTCCTGAAAGGGAGTTGGGGGCATTTCTTAAAGGGTTGGAGCTCATGCTGGGTGATTCTGAGGGAAGAGCAGGCCCGCTCTGAGTTGGGTGCTGCCCTGAGAGGGGGCAGTGTAGGAGCTGGGCATCTCGGCAATCTTTGGGGAGGTTGGAGGGAGGAACGGATGGGTCTGGGGGTGTCGCTAGTAAAAAAGCTGCAATTGCACAAAAAGGGACTGTTGGTCCTTTTGCAGCCGTTGGTGTGGCCTTGGGGGAAACATTGTTTTCTGTCTACTTTGTTACTGTCTGGTTTCAGTTGGCTACCTCGTGGTCTAATTATCAGTGGGGTGCATTTTCACTCTCAAGGTAGAGACTGTAGAAGAACAGAGTTGAGGGCTTATGGAAACCTGTCTGTGGAAGCTCAGGATTTATTTTTATTTGTGGTTTTTTTTTTTTTTTTACGGTTATTGCTTTTCTTTTTTAAATCTTTATTGTTGAAAGTATTACATGTGTCCCCCTTTTCACCGCATTGGCCCTCTCCAGCCTACCCTCCTCCCCAGGCTCTCACCACCCTTTCATCGGTGTCCTTGGGTTATGCATGTAATCATACAAGGTCTTTGGTTGATCACCACCCACCCACCGTCCGCACTCTGTTCCATGCTTCCATGTCTCTGGATCCCACTCCGTTCATCAGTTAAGAAGCTCGGGACTAAATCTGCAGCATCTGAGTGGGCATTAAAGCGGTAATAGGATGGGGAACATTTTTAACCTTGATAGTTTTAAATATGACTTAGAATTTGGACACCTTTTGTTCATTATCTATTAAGTATTAACTGCGTCGTGAAGCACAGTGATCAGGGTTTTACATGAACTTATTTAATTTTCTCAACCGCCTCTGGGGTAGGTATTGTAAAAGCATTTGTTTAAACTTAAAGGTAAGTTAACCTGTTCAAAGACAAGAGCTAGGAATAGGAATTGCTGTGTTTATTAGGTTCCAGGCACTAGGCTCAGAGATCCCCACGCTTGTTTTATAATCCTCACAGCAACCTTATGAGGTAGCGCCTATTATTATCCCCTTTGAGAGATGGGGAGAAAATGGGTACCTAGCAAAATTCCTACAGCTAGTGATTGGAAGAGCCAGTAAGTGGGAAAGTGAATTTAAGCAGATCGCAAATCCCCGCTCCCTCCTCCCCATTCCATGAACCGGCCTCTGCTAGGAAGCACCCCCCTGGGCCAGCCCCTTGAAATTAGGACTCGGGTTCCCCAAGTGGGAACCTGGGGGGAAGTAAAGGGTGGGGTCCACCTGGCCGGGCCCGGGCCCCGCCCCCCGTGGGCGGGGCGGGGCGATCCGCCAATCAGAGGGCGCGGGGGGCGGGCCGCGGGCGCCCCGGCTCGGGCCCGCAGTTGGAGCGGCGAGAGCGCTCGGAGACGCGACGCGGTGCCCAGGGGAGCGAGCCAGCGCCCCAATCTCCTTCCTCTCCCTTCCCGTCGCCTCGCCGCCTTCACCTCCCCGCAGCCGGACCGGAACTATGTGATCCGGAAGTTCCGGTGCCATTGCTGTGTGGGATAAACAGTAATGGCGGAGGCTGCAGCTCCCGGAACAACAGCCAAACCATCAGGAGCAGGAGCGGCGGCGGCGGCGGCGGCGGCCTCCCCCACCCCTATCCCCGCAGCCACCTCGCCGTCCGCGGGGGCGGGGGGCGGGGGAGGCGGCGGCGGCGGCGGCTGGACCAAACAGGTCACCTGCAGGTGAGACGTTGCGCGGCGCCGGTGCAGGGAGGGGGCCGGGCAGCGGAGGGAGGGCGGGCGGAGGAGCGGGGCGGCCGGCGTCTCGCTGTCCCCGCGGTAGTCGCCGCCGCTGTCTCGCCGCCCGCGCTGCGTCAACCCCCGCCGCCGCCGCCCGCCGGCGCCCGGCGCGGAGCGAGAGGTAGGGTGGCTCCTCCCTTCATTGTCGCCGGTCCCCGCGGGCTCCGGCCCCGCAGGTGCGGGAGGGACGGACGGCGGCGGCCGCCGGGGTCCTGCCTCCCCGGGAGCGCGGGTGCCGGCGGCCGCCGTGTCATCGGATTGTAACGTCCGCCCGCGCCCGCGTCCCCGCCCCCGCCCCCGCCCGCAGAAGTAGCTTTTGTTATTTCTTCTTTGTACGTGTGTTTGCCGAGGCTGGCGGTTCCGAGCTTTGTCTGGTGCCGGGCCGGGTCGGAATCCTCCTCCGCCCTACGTTTCGCGCGAGCTGCCATTCATTCCCCTCCCGGGGCGAAATGTTTCTCTTTGAAATCCACGCATCTGTCCGTGGACGGGAGTCCAAGACCTCCTCCAGCCCGGGGGACGGGTTTTGTTTTGGTTTGGTATATCGGATGGACGTATTGTTGTTTTTTGTTTTTTCTTTTAAGGGGGTAGTGGATGGTTCTTATCGGAACGTGTATACGCCTGCTAAACACTGTCAAGTTGTCGCATATAACATAGATATAAGGTTAGAGCATTTCATTGATGTGATGCTTGGGTTTTAAAAATGTGATCGTGATCGGTAGGAGTAGAGGCTTTCATTTGCAAAAATCCATCCGAATTGCCGGTTTCATCTGTGTGAGATGATACGCAAAGATATTCCCAATACACAGAACTCACTGTTCTTGTACTAACAGCGAGATTGAAGCCCTGCCAGTCTTTGATATGATGCAGTTAAAGGCATAGATGATAAGCTTAATTACCTTTAAGTAACAGGATGGAGGAAGCATCAAGGCTGTTTTAGGTAGACCCTAAGAAAGGAATTAAGTGCAGTGTCCCCAAAATGATAATTTAAGAATTCCCATCCATGTAAACTTAGGTGCTGCAGTTGATTGATATGTTCTAGTTGAATCTTCAAAAAAAAATTAGTGCTAGTGGAACTTTCTTTTCCTGAATTTCCCAGCCATTCACCTTGCAGCCCCAATCTACAGTCATACAATGAATTTAATCTCTCTTGAAGATGTGACTTCTTTAAGGACTCTCATTTCTCGCACCATCTGCAAGCTAAATAGTCTGGAAAACCTCTCACCAACCTGACATACTTAACCTCCAGATTATCCTGCTGTGTCTGTAACTTGAGCCCAACTTGACATCTCTGCAAAGAATTCATGGTCACTCCCTCTACTTTACTTTCCCCGATGTTAGATGCTGTTTCCTTTTCTGGTTCTCCTTTTCTAGTTCCTCACCAGTAACATCAGAATTCAAAACACGGCTTACCAACTGATTCTTCTTCTTTGCCTGCATTTAGGGTCTTTGAGTTAATGAAATATCCTAGATTGTTCCCAGACCAGTGGTGTTTCTTTGCCCATGAACCAATTGATGTATGTATTAAATAAACTTACTTATCTAAGCAATCTAATATTTGGGGGGGGAGTGAGAGAAAGCACTATATAGGCTTAGATGTGCAGGGTTTTTTTATTTTTACATAAACCTGTCAATAGCTTGCTAGACAGTTATCTGAAAAAATGTTCAGGTTAGTTGATTGATATGTCTTGTTTGACATTGTTTTCAGTTATTTTGGGTACCAACATGATCTATTTTTTTTTTTGAAAAAACTATTGAACAGAGGAGTATCGTGATATTTTCAGTCTAGACTTGAGCTCTGAAAGCAAGGCTCTATTTCATTATTCTATTTGTAGGGTATCTGGCATATTCAGTAATGATGTTGATAAATCCACACCTAAAATTATCACTTCAATATGGACTAGTAATGTTCCTTGCTTTCATTAAAAATCAAAACAAACAAACAAAAAACTTGTGAATTAGCAAAGACAAAGGACTTAAATGGGACATATGTCTTTCTGGGACCACCTCATTCAGTTATTCAGTGAATAAACATTAGTGCCTACAATGAGAGTGTGCTAGATGTTAAAGGGAATACAGAAATGCATTGTTTTATGGATAAATACACTTGATCTTAGCCAAAAGCACAAGAAATGATACACTGTATTATAAATAGTTGCAGTGTACTTGATAGCTAAAACTCCTTTGAATTCAAGATAGTGATTGTTTTAGTGTTTGTATCTGTTTCTCCCTCATTCCTAGGATTTTGGCTTTCTTCACCTAGAGCAGGGGTCGGCAAACTTATTAATCAATAGTACAAAGATTGAATTTCTTTCGAGAGCCAAGTTTTTAAATTTTTAAAAAAATATTTCATTGATTTTTTTTTTTTACAGAGAGGAAGAGAGAGGGATAGAGAGTTGGAAACATCGATGAGAAAGACTTTGCACACCCCCTACTGGGGATGTGCCTGCAACCATGGTACATGCCCTTGACCGAAATCGAACCTGGGACCTTTTAGTCTGCAGGCAACGCTCTATTCACTGAGCCAAACCGGTTTCGGTGAGAACCAAATTTTTTTAAACTTAAGCTTCTTTTAATGCCACTTCTTCTTTTAATGCCAGACTCATCCAGGCCGTGGCATTTTGTGGAAGAGCCACACCCAAAGAGCTGCATGTGGCTTGCGAGCTGCAGTTTGCTGACCATTGGAGTTTACTGTGTTTAGAAGTTAGCAGTTGTTTGGAGGATGGATATTTGTCTTTAATTGCTCAGGATCTCTCAAAATATTCATTGTGTTTTATTTCTGCAGCTTAAGAAAATCCTAGGTATATCTTTCTCAAGGAACTGTATTATGCTGCCCCCACCAGGCCGTTTTTCATCTTTTATTGGAGGAATTTTATGAAATAGAAATGCTGTCACTTCTTAGTTTCCTTGGGGGTTCAAAAATTAGTAAAGAAACATTGTAACTTGCAAATTCTAGTTGTAAATGAGGTTAGTATAGCTTAAAAATGAAGGAAAATTTTCAAAAGGTATTTTAAGTGCTGTGATATCTATAGTTGAAATTCATTACTTACAACTCTAGGGGTTTTTTTGTTTGTTTTGAAGGAATGGTATTTGAAGAAGCTCTCCAGCCTAGGGAAATTTAATTGGCTACTGTCACTATGATTCATCATGACACCTAGCTCTCCTCTACTGGGGATCAGCTGAATTTGAATGCTATCTTTTAGGGAAACAAACCCATTATGTGTATGGATACTGAGGAGATATAAGCAGAATAAAGCATGGTTCTTAACCACCAGGAATTTACAAACTAGTTTGAGAAAAAGGGTACATTAAAATACCAAAATGAGAAATGTAACAGCAGATGAAGTGATTAAATTCCAAATTAATTAATCTGTAATTTTCCATAAATTCCCAAAGAGATTATTAGATTGTTGTGATGCTAAGGAACTGTGAGCATGCCAATATATATTGATCATGCTTAGGCTTCCAAGAGGTAGGTCAGGGGATTCCAGGCAGTGGCATGTCTTTATTACCCGACAATGTCTGCTTGGAGTCACAGAATCTTCCAGGTGGAAGGAACTGCAGAAATCAATGACTTAGAAATCTTCGCCTCAGGGAAAGACAAGCTCAGCATGGGCAGGGCCATCAGGTGAATTTTAATGGTGACATTTTTATTGGTTTGGTTGTAGGGAGAAATTCTTGGTAGTGGGTTGCCTTTTCCTTTTTGTTACCTGTTATAACTTACACTATTATGCCAGTCTCTTAGATTTACACAGAGATAGGTTGGCAAGAAGGGATTTCACCGTGAGAAATGTCGATAATTCTGGGTATACCAACAGTGTTGGTACCACTGCAAGGCAAAACACAAGAACCTAAAACCCAGACCACACATACCAAATAAATGTGAAATAATGCTTGGTACACATTTGGCCCTGACTAATTAGGGCTTGTATTCTAGTGTTTCTGCAGTATCAGGTGACTTTGTGCTGCTTGAATTCCTTCAGTGATGTTCACTATGGACCTCAGGAACTTCTATTGCCAGGAGATTCTATTTCTCAATCTAATCTATTTGTTGACTTATTTTTTACTCTTTTATTTTGAATTATAGAGAAGTTTCCATCCATTATGGATATCAAAAAGTAATATTGGCCAAACCGGTTTACTCAGTGGATAGAGCATTGGCCTGTGGACTGAAAGGTCTCGAGTTCGATTTTGGTCAAGGGCATGTACCTTGATTGTGGGCACATCTCAGTTGGTGGTGTGCAGGAGGCAGCTGATTGATGTATCTCTTTCATCGATGTTTCTAACTATCTCCCTTCCTCTCTGTAAAAAAATCAATAAAATATATATATTTTAAAAAGTAATATTTGTGTGAGTGTTGCAAAAGTGTAAAGGTGGAGTGTCATGCTGAACATTAAGATGCAGGTATTAGGGAATTAAGGTCCTTGAAGCAAGTGATTGAAGAAACAAGGTTAAGTAAGGTCAGCAGCCGGGACCGGTTTGGCTCAATGGATAGAGCATCGGCTTGAGGACTGAAGGGTCCCGGGTTCGATTCCGGTCAAGGGCACGTACCTTGGTTGCGGGCATATCCCCAGTAGGGGGTGTGCAAGAGGCAGCTGATCAATGACTCTCTCTCATTGATGTTTCTAACTCTCTGTCTCCCTTCCTTTCTGTACAAAATCAATAAAATAAAAATTAAAAAAAAAAAAAAAATAAGTAAGGTCAGCAGCTGTCCTGTAGTGAATCCTAGGTGATTTAATTTGACATAAAGAAGAACATCATAAACCTCAGTGCAACAATGCACTGAATTGGGACCATGGCAGAATAGGATTTAAGAACAACAAACCGAAATTCCAATTATTGTGCCTGAGATTTAGGAGTTACTGCCCAGCTTTATCTCTAGCCTTACAAACACACGCATCTCTGACATTAAACTGACCCCAAATAAATAGTGAAGGTATAGGCTCTTGTCTTATTTGGAATGTAAGAGCAAAAGTGTTCCCACTGGGACACTATTTGAGAGCCATACCAGATGGGACAGAAAGCAACTGTATTCAAACAGTGACACTGTTTCTAATGAATAACTTATTTTCAACTGTGGATACTTTTATAGAAACTCAGAAGCATGATTACTCCCTGGTATTGATTACAATGTAGCTATCATTTACTTGCTTAGTAGTTTTGTTAAGTTTTAATCTCTTCGCTTAATGCAGTTAGAAATTACCTAACTGGATCCAGCCTATTGGATCCAGCCGGTGTGGCTCATGGGTTGAGGGTCGATCTATGAACCAGAAGGTCAGGGTTTAATTCCAGGTCAGGGCATATGCTCGATCCCCAGTGTGAGGCGTGCAGGAGCAGCTGATCAACAATTCTCTCATCACTGATGTTCCTTTCTCTCCCTCTCCCTTCCCGTCTGAAATCAGTAAAAAAAAATTAAAAAAAAGAAAAAAAAATATATATATATATTTTTTTTTAGTAAAAATATGTTTTAAAAAATTATCTGTTGATATAGGGTAGCTCAAATTTGGGTGGTATGGCTCTCAAATAGTTTTAAAGCTTGCACAATATTGAAGTTGAGAGAAAGTTCAAACCCAAGTTTGATTGTTAAGTATAATTTGGCCTACCATGTTTTATTTTGTTATGGATTTGCACTCCTAGGCATTTAAGGATCTTAATAAATTCTTTCCACCAGAATGGATATTCTTTCTTTCCATGTTATCTGCTGTGAAGATAACATGCAGGAAATTGCTAAGTAACCTTTCACATTTTAATTGGGGAGAGCCTTAAGTAAATGAGAATTTATTTTCTGTGTATCATTCCAAATCAGTGGGCAAAGTGGAATGTGCTTACTGATGATATAATACCTAGGCCCAGGAAATGGGAACTTTCTCCTTTACTCTGTACCAGCGGTGGGGAGGCGCATACTTGGGGAGGGGTGGCCGGCCAAAATTAAATCTTCATAGCCCTGCTCAAGAGAAAGACTAAAAGAAGAAAAACTAATGCTAGTAAGTCAGTGATGGGATGTTGAGGGTGATGTGTTTTTTGGTTCTACTCACTTTTGGATTAAAATAAAACCCTTATTGCTTCCCTGATCCACAGAGTCATTTAGAGAAATGCAGGTTGCTGCTTGCCTTAGCCCCTATTATCCCAGTTATAGATGAGAAGGTCTGAGGTGAAGTCTCTCAAAATGGTGCGTTTCTAGCAAACCTCCACGAGCTGCTGGCGCTGCCGGTCCTGATCCACTTAGGAACCACTGGGGCATGCTCTGCCACTGAGATGGAAACTGCTAGTTCAGTACACTCACTCAAAGGCACAGGGAGATCCGGCTGCTAAAGGAGGACATAACTGATTTTCTTTGTCCCTACCTTTGCAGCAAGTGTTGCTTATATTGTTAAATGTGGCTTTTAAATAATTAATACAGTTTCTTGAAGTGAAACAAACAGTAGTCTGACCTGGTCCAGTCTTCACTGTTTCTTGCTTTTTTTATTTTCCCCTCCATCACCATTTATCCCTCAGTACCCTCTTCCACCTCCACCCATTCCCCCCTCCCCAATTACCACACTGTTTATTGCTTTTTTTTTTTTTTTTAACATTTGCCTTGATTCCTGAGTATGTATTTATTTTAAAATATACTTTATTGATTTTTTACAGAGAGGAAGAGAGGTGGATAGAGAGAGAAACATCGATCAGCTGCCTCTTGCACACCCCCTACTGGGGATGTGCCCGTAACCAAGGTACATGCCCTTGACCCGAATCAACTCTAGACCTTTCAGTCTGCAAGCCGATGCTCTATCCACTGAGCCAAACCAGCCTGTTTATTGCTTTTATTTTACTTTTTTTTCTCTTTCAAATTTAATAAATCTTTATTGCTCAGATTATTACAGTTGTTCCTCCCCCCTTCCAATAGCTCCCTTCCACCAGGTTCCCACCCTCTGCCCTTACCCCTCACCCCCATTGTCCTCATCCATAGGTGTAAGATTGTATTTTATTTATTTATTTTTTTAATTTTTAAAAATATATTTTTATTGAGTTTTTACAGAGAGGGAGAAGGATAGAGAGCTAGAAACATCGATGAGAGAGAAACATCGATCAGCTGCCTTATGCACACCCCCCCACTGGGGATGTGCCCACAACCAATGTATATGCCCTTGATCAGAATCGAACCCAGGACCCTTTAGTCCGCAGGCCGATGCTCTATCCACTGAGCCAAACTGGTTTTGGCCATAGGTGTAAGATTTTATTTTATTTTTATTTATTTATTTATTTTTAAGTAAGGAGTCCAGAGAGACGAGAGAACTTGATTTATTTATTTTTTAATTAATTTATTTAAAAAAATATTTTATTGATTTTGTACAGAGAGGAAGGGAGAGAGATAGAGTTAGAAACATTGATGAGAGAGAATCATCGATCAGCTGCCTCTTGCACACCCCTTACTGGGGCTATGCCTGCAACCAAGGTACATGCCCTTGACCGGAATCGAACCCGGGACCCTTCAGTCCCCAAGCCGACGCTCTATCCATTGAGCCGAACCAGTCTCGGCAGGTGTAAGATTTTAATCCAGTCTCTTCCTGCACCCCCCATACCCTTTCCCCCTGATAATTACCAATCCACTCCCTTTCTTTGCCCCTGATTCTATTAATATTCACCAGTTTGTTCAATTCCTCAGATTTTTAATTCACTTGATTTTTAGATTCACTTGATATATATGTATTTGTTGATCATAATTCTTACCTTTTTTCTTCATCTTCTTAAAGAATACCTCCTCCGTGTCTTTCTCTCTCTCTCTTTCTCTCCTCTCTCTCTCTCCTCTCTCTCTCCTTCTCCCTCTCCCTTCTTCCCTTCTACTTGCCCTCCCGTCCTCCTCTTCCTCTTTTCCTCTCTCTCAAATCAATAAGTAAAATAAATTTTAAAGAAAACGTAGGTAATTAAATCTCAGACATTTCTCATGACAATGTTTCCAGCATTTCATATAATACTGGTTTGGTGGTGACGACTCCTTTAGCTTTTTCTTATCTGAAGCTCTTTATCTGCCCTTCAATCCTGAATGATAACTTTGCTGGGTAGAATAATCTTTGTTGTAGTTCTCACTATTCATCACTTTGAATATTTCTTGCCACTCCCATCTGGCCTGCTCAATAGTTTCTGTTGAGAAATCAGCTGATAGGGTGCTCCCTTATAGGTAACCAACTGCTTTTCTCTTGCTGCTTGTAAGATTCTCTCTTTGTCTTTTGCCCTTGGCATTTTAATTATGATGCAGCTTGGTGTGACCCTCTTTGGATTCCTTTTGTTTGGGGTTCTGTGCGCTTCCAATACTTGTAAGTCTATTCTTTCACCAGTTGGGGAAGTTTTCAGTCATTATTTATTCAAATAGGTTTTCAGTATCTTGCACTCTTTTTCTGGCACCCCCATAATTCTGATGTTGGTATGCTTGAAGTTGTCCCAGAGGCTCCTTACACTATCTTCAAGTTTCTGGATTCTCTTCTTGCTTCTCCAGAGGAGTGTCCTTTGCCTCTTTGTATTCCAAATCTTTGACTTGATTCTTGTGTTCCTGTAGTCTGCTGTTGGATCTCTGTATAATATTTTTTTTATTTCAGTCAGGGTATGTTTAATTTCTAGTGGGTCCTTTTTCATATCCTCGAGGGTCTCACTAAATTTATTGGCCTTTTCTAGGAAATTCTTGAAAAACCTAATAGCCAGCCGTGGTTTTGAACTCTATATCCAGTCGTTTGTTCTCCATTTCTTTTGTTTGAGATCTGTTTCCTTTTCTCAGCATTTTCACTGTTTCCCTCCTTGTTTTGGAAGGGTGGCTTTGTGTGTTTGGTTTCCTATATGGCCCCGTGGGTCAGCATCCCCAGTTACCTGAGGTAGACACTCTTGGTGCTCCCCTTTGTGGACTGCGCGTATAGCCTTGTTATAGTTTAGTCGTGATTGTTGTTGGTATCACTGGGAGGAATTGATCTCCAGGCCAATTGGATGTATCAGCTGTGTCTACTCCGGGATATCTTCTGTATTGGAGACAGTTTTATAGGATCAACTTGCAAAATTGTAAAAGCCTCTGAGCAGACAGTCTTGGCTTCCCGTCAGCCCTGCCCCTGCCTTCTGCGGCTCCCAGCTCTTCCGAGTCTCCGGGTGCCTTTCTCTACAGTCCAGATTCCACCCGACTGAGCCTGGGTCCACGGGGTTTTGGACAGGGTTGGGGTTTAGTGCAGTCGGAAGTGGGGTTCAGTGTAGCCAGGGGCTTCCTTTACCCTGTCGCCAGCCAGGCATTCGGCCACCCTTCCTCTCTGCACGCGAGCGTCTCTCTGCCTCGGCGCTTTGTGGGTCCCAGTCCGATCCGTGAGCCTCTCCTTTCTGGTTGTAGATTTCCCACTCACCAGCTTTCCTGTGTGTTTGGATGATGTCCGTTCTGATTTTAGTTGTTTTGATATTGTTGTGCCAGGCAGCAGCTTAGGTGCTTACTTAGGCCGCCATCTTGGTTTCCCTCCTTTTTATTGCGTTTAATATTAGATTTTTATTTTAGCAGATAGAACTGCCATTATGGCTAAAGTTAGTGAAAAACAAGAATGTACCCACTGGGATTATAACATGAGAACAGTGGTCACACTTAACCTGGAAAGATAAATTGACAATCTCAAACTTTAAATTTAAACTTTGTGTCTATTAAGCAGCCTTCCTGTGGTATCTCAGTGGATAATTTTATGATCATAGTCTAGTTCTACTTTGTTTATTTTACATGTTTGTGTAGAATATAAACATGGATATAGGATGAGTGTATAATACAGTACTAGTGTATTGCCGGTGGAATGCATTGGTCATGAATTCTTTTGAGTATTGACTCCACCTTGTCTAATCCAGCTTTGTGGTTCCTTGTCTCACAGGTATTTCATGCACGGGGTTTGTAAGGAAGGAGATAACTGTCGCTACTCGCATGACCTCTCTGACAGTCCATACGGTGTGCTGTGCAAGTATTTTCAGCGAGGGTACTGTATTTACGGAGACCGCTGCAGGTAAGAATTTGCTCATAAATCAGTTGTGTTCAATGGTGGATTGGGAAAAGTTAGTAAAGTACATAATCCTCATAGCATTGTAATTTATAGAGTTAAAATAATGCTTTGAAAAGGACTTCTTAGGAATGTTAATGCAATGATGAAAATCTCTCACTTGGAAGGAATATTAATACCTTTATTTTTTATATTTTTATTGATTTCAGAGAGTAAGTGAAAGAGCTAGAGAGAAACATCAGTGATGAGAGGATCATTGATTGGCTGCCTCCTGCACATCCCCTACTAGGGAGGGATCAAACACTCAATCTAGGCATGTGCCCTTGGCTGGAATGGAATCTGAGACCCTTTAAGTCCGTAAGCCAACACTATTTACTGAGCCAAACTGACTAGGGCTATTAATACATTTAAAAAATGAATTTGTAATACAATTCTAAGTTTAGTTAATGCCTGAGGAGCAGCTTCTGCAAATGTAGGTATAGGAAGTGGTGAAGGTATGTTTGTGTATGATGTTTCCTCTTTAAACCAAGAATGAAGTGCATATTGGACCAAGCGGGACTGCTTTCAGTTCTCTATAGTGAGAACTGGTTTCACCATTTGAAAAGTGTGTTAGGTTGCTAGTTAAAAGGGATTGTCATCCCAACCAAATTTCCCTAAACCTGTCCCCATTGCAGCTCCCAAGAATAATTATAAGCTAAGATTTAGGGAAAGTTCTTCAAGAATATCTTTAGTATCTAATTCTGAATGTTAGAGAACCAAGAGGGATTAATTAATTTCTATTGTTCATTGAATTGGTACTATAAGTTACATTTCAGTAATGGTGGGTTCTGCTTCAGAATTGGGTAGAGCTTTCTTTATATTCCCATTTCAGAAAATATCTAGGTGTATGAATATGTTATTTATTAATGCTATACAAATTGTCCCAGAATCTAGCAGATTAAAAACAACTACCAGTTTCTGGGGGTCTGGAATGTGAAGGTGGCTTCCCTGGGTGGTTCTAGCCCAGACTCTCAGATTTATATAAAGATTTGGGGCAGGGCTGTCATAATCTGGTCTTGACAGGGGCTGGAGGATCACCTTTCCGATGACTGCTGTGGTGCCCTCCCGCTTGGTGGCTGGCTCTCCCAGAGCAGGGGTACAAGAGAGCGTGCTGGGACACCGCCACAATGGCTTTTATGACCTAGTCTCAGAAGCCCTCACTGGTGCTTCCACTCTGTTCTGTTTGTTACGAGCAGGTCACTGAGTCCAGCCCGGGTTCAAGAGGAGGCTGGGCTCCACTTTGGAAGGGCGGAGTATGGTGAGACAGATTGGCAGTGTCATGGCTGATTTTAATAGTAGTGTCCCTGTTAGATAAGGCTTGTGTCAGCTGCTGGGTTCAAATGCTTAAAGTTCAAAAGACATTAATGTTAGGTCATCCCACATGTTTTCTTAGGAAATTTAGCAAGAATAGAGGGGAGAAAGGGTCCTTTCATTTGAGTGGGAGCTTAGAAGTAGAACTGATGTGTGAGAGTAGCAGTCAATAACTTGCTCTAGTTTTTTTTCATTGCAATATTACTGGAAAGGAGTAAGTGGCACAGGGATTCTCTCCTCAGAAAATCCCAGAATGCTCTTAGTTTTCTTTATATTAAGGCTATAGCTCCCTCTTTGGGGAACAATGCTGATTTGAACTGTGTAGAGCCCTTGTGAATAAAGTAGAAGGAGTTGGGGAAACCTGGGTACTGGGGTGCTGCCTGAGAGGGGAGTTTGGTGATATCGTGGGGACAGGCCAATGGGAGTGATTATTACAAACTGAATTATAGATGAGGCAAGGAGGGAGCCCCCTAGGGAGGGTCTGGTTCCATGGCTGCCTGTTTTTTGTTGTTAAAATATGCTTAGGGACTTAAATCTACTTTTCACTTTTACTCTCTAGGAATCTTTTTACCCAACTTCACCAATGCCCAGGGATATAAAATAATGTAACTCCCCATCCAGGGGATAGTTTATAGTGAAAGGTAGTATCTTAGTTCTAGCAGTTCAGAAGTGGCACCACGTCAGTGTTACACAGTGGTGGTGCTGTTATCTAGTGAGGCCAGGTCCTCGCTGCCCAGGCTTGTCTGCATCCTTCCTCCCCACCAACTAAATTCTTTAAAGCTCCCAGTCATTGTTCCTAAACACCACCCCCCCCCCCCCCCCCCCCCCCGGAGAGAGAGAGAGGTAGTATTGCCTTGGTTGACAACTGCTTTGGGAGGGGTTTTGCCCTCTGGACCTATTAAATCCCATGCATTAAAATCTTTACATGCAGACACCAGACCTGGGAGTGATTGGGAGTAGCGAGTTGCAAGCCAACCTAGAGAAAAGTCTCTTGCTCAGAGCTAGAGGAAACATGGATTAAATGTCCTTAGGTAGAAATTGATTTTATGTATCAAAGTTTTCTTGGCAGAATGTGAAAGAAAAACTCCTATTTGTTTCAGTGTTAGCTTAGCTTTAATTCATCACTTAACACTGTGACTAAAAAGATCAGTGGTTCTGTGATAATCCATTAAATAATAACTAGAACAAAACTGCTCTCATGGACTGTGAATCTAATAGATGGGAGAATCCTCTTAAGCAGGGGTTGGCAGACTCACTCCACAGGGCTAGAGAAGAAATATTTCTGGTTCTGCAGGCCATGGATAATACGTATAAGCTGATATATTAGGACTAGAGTGAAACTTTATTTTGAGATATTGAAATGTGAATTTCATGTCATTTTGTGTGCCATCAAATGATCTTTTTTTCAACCATTTAAAGATGATGTATCCATTGTTAGCTCTGGTTGGATTTGGCCTGAGAGCCTAGGTGACCGGTCCTGCTCTTAAGGAAGTCACCAAACCACTTTTTTTTTTTTTTTTTTTTTTTTTAAATATATTTTATTGCCAAGACCGGTTTGGCTCAATGGATAGAGCGTCGGCTTGGGGACTGAAGGGTCCCGGGTTCGATTCCGGTCAAGGGCATGTACCTTGGTTGCGGGCATATCCCCAGTAGGGGGTGTGCAAGAGGCAGCTGATCGGTGACTCTCTTTCATTGATGTTTCTAACTCTATCCCTCTCTCTTCCTCTCTGTAAAAAACCAATAAAATATATTAAAAAAAAAAATATATATATATATATATTATTTTTTTTACAGAGAGGAAGGGAGATAGTAACATTAATGAGAGAGAGAGTCATCGATCAGATAGGTGCCTCTTGCACACGTCCGCAACCAAGGTACATGCCCTTGACTGGAATCGAACCTGGGACCCTTCAGTCCCCAAGCCGACGCTCTATCCATTGAGCCAAACCAGTTTTGGCACCAAACCACTTAAAAAAAAAAAAAAAATATATATATATATATATATATATATATACACACACACACACACACACACACATACATATTGATTTTAGAGAGGAAGGGAGAGATAGAAACATCAATGAGAGAGAATCACTGATTGTCTGCCTCCTGCACGCCCCCTACTGGGGATCGAGTCTGAAACCCAGGCATGTGCCCTTGGGCGGAATGGAACCTGGGACCCTTCAGTCCATAGGCTGGTGCTCTATCCATTGAGCCAAACCAGCTAGGGCCCAAACTACTTTTTAAATTACATTTATTGGGGTGACTTTGGTTAATAATTTTCAGGGGTACACTCTTATAATACATTCTCTGTAAATTGTACTGTGTGCTCAATACCAGTTTAGTCTCCATCCCCTTAACTTTTTGGTAAGCATCTTTCAGAATTGTAGCCTTGGCTTTTACTCTTTTTTTCCTTGCTTTGTCTTTACACATCTTGTCTCAGAAACACATTTTATATAGCTCTATACTGCACTAAGGGAATAACTCTCCCTAAATAGGTAGACTTTTTGAGAACATATTTTTGTTGTTGGTGGTGTTTTTTTTAGAACATATGCTTCTTAATGTCTTTTTTTTTTTTTTTTTAATATATTGATTTTTTTACAGAGAGGAAGGGAGAGAGTTAGAGAGCTAGAAACGTCGATGAGAGAGATACATCGACCAGTTGCCTCCTGCACAACCCCCACCGGGGATGTGCCCGCAACCAATGTACATGCCCCTGACCAGAATCGAATCTGGGACCCCTCAGTCCGCAAGCCGATGCTCTACCACTGAGCCAAACCGGTTTCGGCTAGCTACTTATTCTTAAATGAAATTTAAAACACAGTTCCTTGGTCCGTGCACTAGCCACATTTTCAAGTATTCCAAAGCTATACATAGCACATTTCACTATCAGAAGCACTGCTCTGGTTATTTTAAAACCTTGGAAATCTAGCCTCAAATCCTCACTTTTTTTCAGATTAAGTAATTCCAGACTTGAAAGAGGATAGCAGAAAAACATTTTATTTTCACAGTCTTGAAGTTAGAAGAGGACCTGGGCTTTGTAAAGAAGGCAGGTTTTAATTTAAAATGCCCCCCTCCACGGAGAAAGGCTTCAGGGCTTTGGAAATTCAATGTCAAGATGCAGAAACAGCCCTGGCCAGGTAGCTCAGTTGGTTCAAGTGCCAACCTGATACAACATGGTTGTAGGTTCAATCTCCAGTGAGGACATACAAGAATCTACCAATAAAGGCATAAATACATAAAACATCAAATCAGCTTCTCTCTCTCTAAAATCATCTTTTTGATAAAAAAGATGCATAGCCCAACCAGTTTTGCTCATTGATTGAGAATCAATCTATGAACCACAAGATTCCTGGTCAGGGCACTGCCCAGGTTGCAGGCTTGATCCCCAGTAAGTGACGTGCAGGAGGCAGCCATCATTGATGTTTCATCATTGATGTTTCTCTCTCTCTTCTTCTCTAAAATCAATATATAAATGCATAAAGGGTCTTAGAAACAGATATGACACCCATATTTTAGTTCTTTCTCCTTTGCCATATTCATTTTAAGGATTTTAGGGTATATGACTCAACAGTCATTAGACACTTAATAGAGTATCAAACTGCAAATATTTTAATTTTTGAAAGAAATGCATTTTGCTTTTAAGGCAAATTTATCAATGAATCAACAAAGTATAGTAAATTTTTCAAAGCAAAGAGTATTAACTAGAAAGTTCACATCTATACATAAATTCTCTTGCTTTCAAATAGTCTACAATTTTCTATGGGTATAGAGAAGAATCTGTTTTAAGAACAGACTAAAAAGGAAAAAAGAACCAGACTAAAAATTTGAGATAAATATACTAGGCTACTTTTTTTATTTTATTTTATTTTATTGATTTTGTACAGAGAGGAAGGGAGAGAGATAGAGTTAGAAACATCAATGAGAGAGAGTTATCGATCAGCTGCCTCTTACACACCCTCTACTGGGGATATGCCCGCAACCAAGGTACATGCCCTTGACTGGAATCGAACCCGGGACCCTTCAGTCCCCAAGCCGACGCTCTATCCATTGAGCCAAATCGGTCCTGGCTATAGGCTACTTTTTTTTTAATCAACACTTGATTATAGCCATGTACCATACGTCAAGAATAGTACCATCTACTGGGGAGTCAAATGTAAATAAAACGAGGTCCCTGCTAAAATGAAAATTTATTTTAAACATTAACCTTTTAAATTATTAACCTTTTAAATCGTTCTAAAATGAATACTTTCACGAGTTTTGAGGAGGCAGTAAGATGATAAAAGCATATTCATGACAGCTCCTTCCTCTCAGTTGGCATGATTCCAGGCTATGGAATAAAATGCATTGGCTTTTGTAGCTGATAGCAGGAAACTCAAAATGATTTCTTTTACAAAGCAAAGTAGGAATATGAAGTTTTAAGATAATATAAGGATAAAAACAGTTCGGCAATTGTTTGCTATAAGCTAAAGGATAGTCTTTAGTTAGATTTTACTTATTTTTTAAATGTAAACATTTAAATATTATAAACACATGACCCATGCTTAGTATTGCCAGTTAAGTAATTGAAGAGCTACTTGGTGCATACTGTAAGTTATAACAGTGGACTTTAATAATGGGAGCATTTTAATTTATGTGTTGGTAAAATGGGTTCCATATTTCCACCTGTTGAATTTGAGTGCCAGCCTTGCTTTGATGAATCAGTCCGTTTTGGCCACACAGGCCAACATTTTCTGTCCCTTATCTGTGACCTTGTTCTGCAGTGCGGTCCCTGGGCCCGCAGTGGGAGCATCACATGGGTGCAGAAGAGGTGTCTGCCTTTGAACATTTTCCCAGATGATCCATGTGCACAGCAGTTTACAAAGGATCAGGGAATAGATATCCCATCTAAAGGGTTCTGCTTGGACTTTGACTACTGACTTTTAATTTTCTTTATTTTTTTTCCTTTTAGATACGAACATAGCAAACCATTGAAACAGGAAGAAGCAACTGCTATAGATCTAACTGCAAAACCATCCCTTGCTGCTTCCTCAAGCCTCTCACCAGTAGCTGGACCGATTGTTGAAATGAATACGGGCGAGGCCGAGTCAAGAAATTCAAACTTTGCAACTGTAGGAGCAGGTTCAGAAGACTGGGTGAATGCCATTGAGTTTGTTCCTGGGCAGCCCTACTGTGGCCGTAGTGAGTATTTTGAAGAATAAAAACAGGTCAGAGGTCTAGAAAGTAGTGCATCAATTAACTGAGTTTCATAACCTTCTGGTTGTCAGTCTTCACATGCAGCCTAATTCTAAGTCTAAATCAGATGACCTGAAACTGACAGATGGAGTGAAAGGAACTTGACGGATCCCAATAGTATTAGATTTAGAATGTTGAAAAACTGAAGCCTCCTTTTATCAGTACAGCTGCACAAAAGATACCTAAAGAGCTTCCCACCCCCCTTTTATCAGCATAATCTCAGAAATATCAGCATTAGGGGAAAAAATTCATTTCTTCCAAGAGTAAGGAAATTAGTTTAGGAAATTGTTCTGGAGTTTAATGACCCTTCTTTCCAGCGAGGCCCTAGTTTACCCGCCTGATCCGTGTTGGACCTTTACCACTCTCTAAATCTTTCAGCTGCCCCTTCTTGCCCTGAAGCACCCCTGCAGGGCTCAGGGACTAAGGAAGAGTCCGAGAAGGAGCCGGCGGCAGTGGACACGAAGCAGCAGCTCTGTCCCTATGCAGCCGTGGGAGAGTGCCGCTACGGGGAGAACTGCGTGTATCTCCACGGGGACTCATGTGACATGTGCGGCCTGCAGGTCCTGCACCCGGTGGACGCTGCCCAGAGGTCACAGCACATAAAAGTAAGTTTCTAGGACGACAGAATGTATTTCCCTATTCACAGCATTGCCTGTTTGGTTGGTTGGCTGCAGAAAAATGTTTGGTGAATTAAAATATTGGTCATTTTGAACGCTTTATCAAGAAATAAGATCCTGCCAAAACCGGTTTGGCTCAGTGGATAGAGCATCGGTCTGCAGACTGTGAAGGGTCCCAGGTTCGATTCCGGTCAAGGGCATGTACCTTGGTTGCGGGCACCTCCCCGGTAGGAGGTGTGCAGGAGGCAGCAAGTTGATGTTTCTCTTTCATTGATGTTTCTAACTCTCTATCCCTCTTCCTCTCTGTAAAAAAAAAAAAAAAAATCAATAAAATATATTTTTTTTAAAGAAAAGAAAAAAGATCCTGCCCTGGCTGGTTTGGTTCAATGGATAGAACATCAGCCTGTGCACTCAAGGGTCCCAGGTTCAATTCTGGCCAAGGGCACATGCCTGGGTTGCGGGCTTGATCCCCAGTGAGGGGGGCAGGGACGACATGCAGGAGGTAGCCAATCAATGATTCTCTCTCATAATTGTTTCTATATCTCTCCCTCTTCCTTCTTTAAAATCAATAAAATATATTTAGAAAAAAAAGAAATAAGGCCCTCACATTAAGATATTTCTTTTTCTCTAGAGAACATGAATCATTGATATGAAAGGGAACATCAGGCTGCCTTCTCCCCCCTGGTCTTCCCCCCTCCCCCAATGGAGATAGCAACCTGGGTGTGTGCCCTGACTGGGTATCAAACTGGTGACCTCTCCATGCACAGAACGACAGCCCAACCAACTGAGCCACACTGGCCATGGCTAATTGTACACTTTAAATGAGCATATTACTTGGTATGTGAATTATATCTCAGTAAAGCGGGGTTTTTTTATATATATATATATTTTATTGATTTTATTTTATTTTTATTTTTTACAGAGAGGAAGGAAGAGAGATAGAGAGTTAGAAACATCAATGAGAGAGAAACATCAACCAGGTGTCTCCTGCACACTCCCTACTGGGGATGTGCCCGCAACCAAGAAGGTACATGCCCTTGACTGGAATCAAACCTGGGACCTTTCCATCTGCAGGCCGAAGCTCAATCCACTGAGCCAAATCAGTTTTGGCAGTAAAGCTGTGTTTTTGTGTGCAAATTATGTGCCTGGCACAGAATTGTCACCTAATGAACGTTAGTTTCATTCATCCTGTTTTCTGACAGATTATAATTTAGGGCCCTAATCCCAATTGCATTTTCCATCTAGAAATGAGAAAGTCAACAAACTTAGCATGAAAATGGCCTTTAATGAAGGAAACAAACGGGTTGATTTGCAGGATTGAGAAAAATTGTATAATTTTTCAGTTCCTGAAGTTAAGTCCTTATCGTGCAACTTTTCTAGTAATGTCACATCCCAAAATGCCAGTGTACCTGTACTCACTTGTGAACTAACAAAGCTGCTGTGAAATTGGGGACACTAACTCTTAAGTTGTGACTATGTGGCTCTCTGAACACCACTCATTAACTGTCCAGGTGAAGTCTTTGTTGTCCAGTGCCTTGATGACACAGCTCTCTCCACTCTTTCCAGTCTTGCATCGAGGCCCATGAGAAGGACATGGAGCTGTCGTTTGCCGTCCAGCGCAGCAAGGACAAAGTGTGTGGCATCTGCATGGAGGTGGTCTACGAGAAAGCCAACCCCGGTGAGCGCCGCTTCGGGATCCTCTCCAACTGCAGCCACACCTACTGCCTCAAGTGCATTCGCAAGTGGAGGAGCGCTAAGCAATTTGAGAGCAAGATCATAAAGTGAGACTCCTCCCCAATCTTCGTTTGTGCTTTCTATTTTGGGGAAGAATTTAGTGTCTTGTGCCAACTTTCAAACAGATGGACCACATTTAGATGCATGCATTTTATCTTGAGATGGGGTTATTCTTTGGATTGGGGTTTCTTGTTTGTATTTTCGCTAGCTTCTAGGTTAGTTGGTCTATCTACTTTTATTTGAACGAGGAAACCCGATGTAACAGTAGAATCTTTTTCTGAGGAGATTGTTTAACGGATTAGCCCCTTTAGGCTCAGTGAATCAGCTTCCCTAGCTCTGAATGTATGTCTCCTGGTGTTTTACACTTTCTTATTTCATCCATTAAGCTAGCCAATAATCTACCATCCTTTAAGATTGTTCTCATAACTGAACAAAAACAACATAACTTAAACAGAGCAAAGTTGCAAGAAATAAATTTATTTAAACGAAAGAAAAAGGAGTCTGTGTGAAATGTCTTCTTTTGTTGCTTATTTTAACCTAAGTTCTGTGTTTTCTTTTTGTTAATGAACTGGCTAGCCAGTGAGCTGCATTTGTAAAGGAGCTTGTCTTGCCTCAAGGGGGAGAGGGTCAGTTGTGTGAGCGTTGGGGGCCCTTGCAGATGCCCACTGAGGTGGACCTTCCGTCTTTAAACCTGGAGGTGACGCACCGGGGTGTGTCCTTAGAGTGGGCCTGTGGAGGGGAATTTGCACTGCAGCCTGTTCATTGTTTCCCAGGTCCTGCCCAGAATGCCGAATCACATCTAACTTTGTCATTCCAAGTGAGTACTGGGTGGAGGAGAAAGAAGAGAAGCAGAAACTCATTCAGAAATACAAGGAGGCAATGAGGTATGAGCACTCAGCCTTTTCTTCAGCCAAGATCCCAGTGGAGCTTGGGTTCGCTTTGAAAAGAACAGGCTGCGTTATATACTCCTACCTCCTTCCTACCCTTCCTTTTGCTCCTAGGACAGTTTGTTTTGTCGTCCCGGTAACATCCGTTACATGTCCTGCCACAGCACAGCCCTTGGGGTGTGTGCCGAGGGACTGTGTTACCATGAAGTCTGTGCTTCTGGTAACTAAAGCCCCATCTTCCTGAATCCATGTTCTTTTCCTGTATTCTTGGGGTGGTGGGGGCTTTCTAGAGGTTTTCTCTCTGCTGGATCTGCCCCGGTAGAGCTGTTAAATTTTAGTTGCACTTGGACAGAGTATCTGTCTCTAGCTAGTGTTTCACCCGTTAGCACACACACTTTTAAGGACACACCTGGGGAGGGCGGTAAACTGACATACCGGTTCCGTCCCGAGCTGTTTAGAGAAACCCCGGATATGGGTTGCAAACAGGCCTGAAATCCACCGTGAATAAGGGTTGCGATATTTTCCTTTCCAGCAACAAGGCGTGCAGGTATTTTGATGAAGGACGTGGGAGCTGCCCATTTGGAGGGAACTGTTTTTACAAGCATGCGTACCCCGATGGCCGTAGAGAGGAGCCACAGAGGCAGAAAGTGGGAACATCAAGCAGATACCGGGTAATTCTTGCTTTTCTTAAAGAAGGGAAAATACCACCATCTTAGCACAGATTGGGGGAAGGGAAGGAGAAAGTTAACACTCAGGTCTGGGAGTGAAAGTAGAGTATTTAAGCAGGAGAACCAACCTCAGGAAACTGGGAGGGGCATGAGAGGAAGAGCTAGAATGCTTAAAACTCTAGCCTAAACCTGTGCATCCTGTAACCAGAGGGGAGGAACTGGTAAAGTGGATCCCTAAGTGGGTTCGCCATGCCCTCTGGTGTGCTGGACCTTTGCCTTAGAAAGGAGAGGATAGAAGATGCCACCCGACAGTGCCACCCCTATCATGGCCTTGTTTCTTACAGGCCCAACGAAGGAACCACTTCTGGGAGCTCATTGAGGAAAGAGAGAACAGCAGCCCCTTTGACGATGAAGAAGAGGTGGTCACCTTTGAGCTGGGCGAGATGTTGCTTATGCTTTTGGCTGCAGGTGGGGACGACGAGCTGACAGATTCTGAAGACGAGTGGGACTTGTTTCACGATGAGCTGGAAGACTTTTATGACTTGGACCTATAGCAGCTTTGCGTGGCGTGCGAACTGGTCTGCTGAGCCCAGTGGCTGTCCCCTGTGGTGGTGTGGCAGTGCCCGTGTCTCCTAGGCAGGCCTAGCAACTCCAGGTGCTGTCGTGAAACTTCGTACCCAGGGCCTGTCGTCTTACTCCCTCACCTTTCCCACGGAGTATGTTGTTTCCTCTGGTTAAAAGTTACAAAAATAAACCTTAAAGTTAGTTTTTTGTAACACGAACTTAACTGTCAGACAGTTAGTGTAGGTTTGTTGGGTCATCTGTTTTCAACCAGATTCACACAGTTGGAGGGTGTTCATGGACGGGCCGCACTCATTCTGAGGACCCGGGTTCCAAAGCCACAGCCTTGGCCCTGCTCTGGGGTCCAAGAAGAGGTGATGGGTGAAGGATTTGAACTGTGGCAAGTAGCCTGTGCTACAGACCTAGAAGGCGGATACTTGGAGGTTTCTGCTGAAAACTGCACATCTGTGTTTTTGTATGTTCCCTACCCCACAGTCCCTACCCTGTGCACTTGTTCTGTGGTTTTGGTCTCTTGATAATTGCACACAAGTAATAACTACTGGATAACCATAACCAGGTGCGAATGTGTGGAGATTTTTACTGTTTAATATGACAGGGAGATTCTAAAAGAATGATTTATTGGCATAAATGAAATGCAGAATTGAGGTTGACTCCCAAGAGCTGGTAGACTTGGCATGTGTGAGTGCGAGTGTGCGGTAAGCCTCGCCTCCCTGCACAGGTGCAGTGTTCTTAGCCTTAGTGGCTTAGTGGTTCAGCCTCATGTGGCAGCTAGATCTTACAGGACACAGCAGTACGTTGATAGCTGTTACTAGAGCAGTGCTAGCTTGTCTATATGAATAAATGGGCTTAGCCATAGAGGGTACAACTATCTGGTTATCCCATATCTTATCACAAAACGGCGTCGTGGATACACAGTTGTATTTAATGCTTAATGAGCTCTTACCCTCTCCAGTTCAGGCACCTTTTGGCAAACCTTTGTCCTCGCGTGAGGGGTTTTGTTGAGATTTTTGTGTTTTTGTGGTATGTGCCACATTCCATCCCTGTACTTTGCAGGTAGACAGATGTGATTCAAAACTGTGTTCTGAGGTGTTTCTTGTAGTGGAGTCACTGGTTTGCAGTAATGAGTTATGCTTTCCCACTCGAGGGGGGGTGGGGTTGGGTTGGTAATTCATAAGACAAGCTAAATTGTTAGAATTCCTTAATTGGAAAATTTAGCTTGAACTTTGTTGCTGTTTCCTGAAAAAACTTGGAGATCCTCCTGAGTTGTCCCATCGACTGCTTTTGATTCCTTGGATCCCACCCGTACTTTCACTTTAAGAAAAAAACAAGTCGTTGTTACAGAGGTCTCTGTATTTTACAGCTGCCCTTTTGTAAGAAGCACTTTCCCAAATAAAACAATAAAAAACCCTAAGTTGTCTTTCTGTCTTGTATTAATGAGCTGTTTGGAATATTGTTTATTTCTTTCACTGACTCTTTGATCAGCTCATCAGTGAGAAGTTTCTGTGGATACAGTGATCCCTGTCTTGAGACATCTACTCCGCTGATGGATGTGTGAGAGGTAAACCTTACCAACAGGATCATCAAACTAGTCTGTATTTTAGAATTTGTAAGACTAGTTGTACAGGCACTGCGATACATACGCTTGTACTTGAACCTGCCTCATTTCTGCAAATAACAGGTAGGTCCCATTCTCTGCCTAATTCTATTCTGAAATTTTATTAATAAAATACCTTTTTGGCATTTTTAGTTTTGATGACTAAGAATTCATGCTATTGAAAATGTTGCCACATTTAAGAGTTGTGTATATTGGCTTATTGTAGCCATAGTAACATCTGTGGCTCCCCCGCCCCCGAAATGCCAGAAGTCCACCCTAAGCTGCTACTGCCAGGCTATGGACCATGTGCCCCCAGGGATGCTGTGAGCCTGAGGCAGGAGTGGGGGAAGAGGAGAGTCTTAGGCTTTTTGGTGTCCAGAAAGCAGGGAGAGACTCCGCAGAGCCGCTCTGTGAGCATATCTGAGTCTGGGGAGAAGGGTCTAGGCGAGATGAGAGCTCCTGGCCTTTCTGTAGATTTATGTTTGGAGCAGCTCCTTTGTGCCTTAGAAAAGGCAATGGAAGCTCATGTTTGAGCCAGTTCATAATGGGTGTTGCTCCCCCGTCACCATGACTTCAATGTGGTTGCCAATTGCAAAAAGGGTTGGAGGACCAACAGTGATGGGTGGAACTTCAAACTTTCTCATTTGCACAAATTAACGTTTTATTATTATTAAGGTATTATATGTGTACATATCTTACCATTGCCTCTCCCCTCCCCCCACTCCCATACATGCCCTCCCTCCCCAGAGATTTTCGTCCATTGGTTTTGCTTATATGCATGCATACAAGTCCTTCAGTTGATCTCGTATCTCCCCCATATCTCTCTATCCTCCCCACTGTAATTTGACAGTCTGTTTATTGCTTTACTGTCTCTTTTTGTTCAGTTTATAATGTTCTTTATAAATGAGTGAGGTCGTGTGGTGTTTCTTTCATTGACTACTTATTTCACTCAGCATGATGTTCTCCAATTTCTATCCAGGTTGCTGCAAATGATAAGAATTCCTTTTTTTTTAATGGCAGCATAGTATTCCATTGTGTAGATGTACCATAAAATTAACCTTAACCTCTTTCCTGCCACCACCAGTTAAGTTCTGCTTGCCTCTGTGACTGACTCCTGTGGACAGATATTCCAGCATGTCGTCATAAATGCAAGAAGTTCATCAAAAGGTTTGTGGACTTTGAGCCTTCAGCAAGGACTGAAGAGTTATTTCCTGCTGGAATGGCCGAAAACATGTCCCCAAACCTGAAAATCTGCATATATTGCCTACTGCCAGGCAGCTGAGGGCATTTCATTCTACATGTAATTACCTGCTGGCCAGGTAGCTGAACAGCAGAAAGCAGTCCCTCCTACCTGACAATGCCTACTGTTTACCAAACCTTGCCTTTGATACAGGCATATCTGCTTTGCCTTAGGGCAATTTGTGTTAAAAATCTAGGGGTCCAGAGATTCAGAGAACTTGGTTGCTGCTGCTATCATGTTTTCCTGAAAATAAGACATCCTCCGAAAATAAGACCTAGCCCAACTTTGGGAGAAAAAATTAATATAAGACACTGTCTTATTTTCGGGGAGACAGGGTAAGTCTTTTCTGGCCCCAAAATGCCTTCCAATTTTATACTTTATGTCTAGTTTCTTTATTCATTTACATGTAGCCCCTTCTCTAGATTCCTGAACCCTTTTAGATGCTGAGAAACACCCTGGCAGATTCTTATTTGGATGCTTTGAGGAAAAGGTGAAGCAAATCCTTGCTGAAGATTTGGGAGAGGGAGGTATTGATGCCAGAAAGAGGGGAACCTAGCCCATGGAAGGTCTGCGTAGGGCCAGCTGGCAGTGTATGGGTTCTTTGTGCAGGAAAAATTTCACAGCATAAATCTAAGTGAGTAATGAGGGAACATTGATTAAAGCAGGAGACATAAAACAAGGAAGGGCTTACATAGAAGAAGCAACAGGAGAGTCTAGGCTGGGCTGCCCTAGCTCTGGGAAGTCTGAGGAAAGGTGGCCTTGAGATCAGATTCAGGAGTTTGCTTGGGACAAGCTGCCGTTGTCCATGGCTCTGCTGGCTGCAAGCCTCTCGTGGATTTTAAGGTTTAGGAGATGGATTCCTTTGGGGGAAGCAGGAAGGGAATGGTGGGGGCTTTCTCCCTGGCTGGAACCATAGCGGGAGGGCCCAAGGGAGGCCTTCAGCAGGATAATCAGCTTTCTGGGTGTGGTCCTCCAGGGCCACGGTCTTCACTGATTGGTCAGGGCAGGGGGTCCTCCATCACTGAAGCTGGTGCTGGCATCTCCCACCTGGTTTTAACTGTTTTTCTGGGTCTGGAGCTGAAATACAACTGAGGCCTAGATGTTACTTCTAGGGAGGTGACCCATGGCTGCTTTAAATGCTGTCAATTTGTTACCTCTCTGGTTCAGTTTTCCTATTCCACCTGCCCTGGCTTCCTGGCCTGTCTCGTCTGATGCTGGTAAAGGTGTTCGTAGTCATTGTTTCCTGCCGTTCACAGGATTACCAAGTCTGCTTTTGGAGGGCATTCTGTAGCTGCAGAACTTCCTGAGGCTGGTGACATGTGAACAGAATTGATACAGATCTTAAGAGCCAGCTCATGACTTTCCCTCATTCTCCCCCTTTCCCTGGCAATGGACCATTTCTGAGAAGGTGGCCTGAGTGTAATGGGGGGAGAGGTAGAGCAGGTCACTCAAGCTGACCAGAGCAACAGATCCTGAACATGAAATAAACCTTGGGAGAAAGGCCACTGAGATTTGGAATCTGTTGTCACAGCCTAACAGCCTATCCCGTGTTGAAACCATCTGTTGAAAGAACTTGTTTTATAAGGAAATCTAAATACAGTTTGAAATATTCATTTTAATGCTTTTAGCTGCCTCTAAGATAAGTAAAAAGTAAATTGTAAGGTGTTTGAATCATTGAACAAATTGGTTTGAAATCGATACAGATTTTAGAAGGAAAAACATTACAAATTATTTGCTTTTTTTGGCCTACTTTGGGCATTAATTATTACTACTGGAAATGTATATTTTTTAGAAAGAAAATTTGTGCTATAGTTAGGTCAGTAGCACTTATTTAAATTGTTGTAAATAAGGGAGCTAGAGGTTAAGTTTTTAAGTAGTCCTCAAAATAAATATCTGAGGCAGTTTGAGGGTTTCAAGGGCTTCGGCAGCAAAGGGATTTACCTCTAAGTGGGGAAAGAATTTTAAAAAACATTCAATCCTTTGTAATTTATATCTGAAGTTACAACACATTGTTACTGTCTCCAGAAGTGGCTGCATTATTACTTCTACAGTGTCTAGGACTGACTTACTTCACAAACATTTAAACAGACTTCCATTTTAGATTTTGATAAGGTGCTTATTTCTTTGTATTGCGTGAC